ACGACGACGACGACTACTACTACTATTACTATTACTACTACTCCTACTCTTACTCCTACTCCTACTGCTACTGCTACTGCTACTGCTACTGCTACTGCTACTGCTACTGCTACTGCTACTGCTGCTACTCCTACTCCTACTCCTACTCCTACTCCTACTACTACTACTACTACTACTACTACGACTACTACTACTACTACTGCTAATTCTACTGATACTAATCCTGCTACTAGTCCTACGACGAGCTACTGCTACGACGACGACTACTAGTATTACTGTTATTGCTACTGTTATACTACTGCTACCACGACAGCTACGGCTGCCGCTACCACCGTCGCCGCCGCCAGCACCACCACCACCACCCGTAGCAGGACTAGTAAGTAGTTAGAGGTCGTCGTTGTCGCCGTAGCAGCAGCAGTAGCAGCACGAAGGCATTCAGCCAGATACCGACAGCCGAATCCACGCCTCAGGACGCACTTTACCAAGCCGGCTTATGGAGATGAGCCCGACTGCGTTGAACCTTTGTTGCAGGAAATGGTCTAACTTTAAGTGGAATGCAGCTCGAATTGGCCCGAGATTCGGAAAGACAGGTGTGCTACAACGCACGGCCTTCCGTGCTCCTCCTACCGTGCCGGCACATGCAAGTTTGCAAATACTGCGCCCCACTACTGCGCGAGCCTCAGGAGACTTTGCACTATGGGTCGAATGAATCAGCTTACCTTGAGAAGAGCATAGAAGAACCGTGCGCAGGCTACTGTGTCAGGCATGTCCGGAGCGTCCCACGGTCCCACGGGGCGTGATAATCAGAACAAGGCTGTAGAGAGCCAAAACAAAGCACTGTAAGGATTCCATGCCTCTGTCCTGATGATGAGGGGTCTCAAGCTGTGGGCACCAAACAAACTGGGAGCTTCATTTGTCAAAAAAACGCTGCATCCTCGAGCCCAGGTCCAGCTGTCCAACCTGCAGGGCTACCATCCAGTCTTTTGCACGACCTTGCTGGGATCCTGAGTCGTGAGAGTCCATGAAGTGTCCAGAAACGCCATGTCAGCAGAAGCTGCGCGTTGCTTGGGACGGTGGGTGGAGGAGGACAGCAGAATCGCAGGCTTAGACACGACGGACGTGTCATGGCCTGCATGCGAATTTGGAATTTTGTGGTCACAAGGACCCAAACCTCATAGGCTTGTACAGCAATCCAAGGCCTGGAGTCTTCAGGCAGTTACTTATAATGTCTCGCAGCCAAGCTCACCCCTCCTCGTACGGCACAGCAGAGACGGTGAGATCGGGAGGTCCACACAAGGACGGGCAGAGCGTAGAGCAGGACGAGAGGCTCACTCCAGAAGCGAGTACGGAAAAATGCGTCCAGGAACGGAACGGCGGTGGAACGGTTGAGCTCTACTCCAGACTAAGCCAAATTTTGACTTCTCATGGCGGAAGACCACACAATGTTCGCCCTGTGGCTCCGGTTCGAGAAGCAACGCGCCATGCACAGCCGTCAAGGAAGGTGGCAGCCGTCTCAGAATCTCTGTCCACACAACGCAGCTGGAACCCAGTCTACACTGTATCGATCTGAACACTGCAAGCACAAGCACAGCCCAGGTCGAGGCATTTTCACCGCACGCTGAAGTCACGGCCACGGCCTCGGTCTTGGAGCATTTTAGGCTCTTGGCATCCCGGATGCCAAGTCGTTAATGCATGCGTACACCCAAGTCCCAGAAACTTGCATGTAACGAACCAACACGCAGTGTGGCTCAGATCCAGCCATGTTGACCGGCTCGTGCAAGTCGAAGGCATAGAAGTCTGACACATGCAGCAAGATGCAGCATCCATGACCCTACCTGTACCTATTGCACACCTCAGAACCACGCTGGCCTGCTGAAGTAGACCGCATCAACAGCTCGTCAGCACATGATCATTCAGTTCCCAGCCGTTTTCCAGTAGTGTGGCTTCAATGGGAAAAGAGGCGAAGGAGCAGCCGAAGCTGTCCGAGCTCTATGAAAAGTTGACTGCCGAGCAGCAAACCAGCTTGTCGAAGGCTGTGACGGAGAAGCTGCAGACCATGATCGGCGGCTATGGTGAGCTTGGGGTTCTGGTGGAGTACATCTCGGTGATGCTGCAGTCCAGCAGGCCCCCAGAGGCGATCCAAACCGAACTCGAAGCTTTCCTCCAAGATCAGAGCGGCCCTTTCACTCAGTGGCTCTGCGAGAAGCTTCAGAAGGTGGTGAACGAAGGCGGAAAGCGGCGTCGCCGCGAGAAGCGCGCAGAGGATGGCAAGGACGCTAAGCCAAAGGATGCCAAGGATGCCGAGAAGAAGGCCAAGAAGGAGAAGAAAGCCGCTGCCCAAGCTGCGGCCCAAGCTGCAGCCCAAGCAGCCCAGACGGCAGCGACGCCGACCACAGTGGCTGCCAGGAGTCGCTCACGCAAGCGACGACGGCGGGCTGCCACAGCCAGCACCCCAGTAACAGTCACGACGGTGCCAAACCAGGCGGATCGCAAAGCCAAGTTGACTCCCAACGTGGACTACATGCATGAGGGACGGCCTCAAAAGAGCGATGGCCGGGAAGCTCCTGCTGGAAGCGACACTCGCTGGTCCTTCCGAGCTGACCCCAGTGGGCACCTTCAGCCAAGTCACCACGGTCCCCCCGCTTCGGCGTACTACCAAGCCCCAGGCGCATACCCTACTCCGCGCCATCCACATGCACCCGCTGTAGCCGCCCAGTATTTCACACCCAAGAAATGGAAAGTAGCGCGTGGCAACACCGTAGTGCGAAAGAGCGAGAGGCTTGATAGTGAAGAAGTGCAGAAGTTGCAGGAGGGCGAGATTGTTGAGCAGGTCGCACCAGCCATCACCACGGAGAACGGCATCGTTCGCATACAGATCCGACATCCGTCATCCCCGCTCTTCCCAAAGCCCATCGGTTGGGTCACCCAGGATGCCAGTGCAGCTGGAGGCCCCAAGTTCCTGGAGCCTGGCCCGGAGCCCATGCAGCGTACTCCACAGAACCCCGGAAGTCATCCGGGCGGCGGATGGCGGCCTGACTCTTCTCCCTGGGGGGGAGCCGGCCCTCCAAGCTGGCGCCCGAGACCAGGACCTGGAGTGCCTCCGCCACGACCCGTGGCCTATGGCAAGGGCTTCCAGAACCTCACCTGGACCCCCAGCTGAGAGCGCGCCTGAGAGAGGTGTTCTAGCTTAGGAGCCTTCGTTCTCCGGACCCTCACGCTAGAAACTGCAAGCTTACAAGACCAAATGCTCTTTCTCAGACCGGGATCCTGGAGAATGGTAGTCACAAGCAACGGAGTCACACTGCGGCACAAGACTTTGCCAGCTTATGTCTGTATGGTCGGTATATGACGAATTGAAAAAAGGAAGCACGTGATGACCCGGCTTGAGCTTAGAATGCTTAGGCTTTTGAAGAAAGAAGATGTAGGTATGTGGACGATATGCATCGGAAGGGTGACTCCATCGCGACCGAGGTGCTGCTGCGAAACTCAGCCTTCTGGAGGTGCTCCGCGGCCTCTGGATTGCTTCGTCTCCTCGACAGGTCATCTACATCTTTGCATCTAATTACATGGAAGATGCGGTCCAAATCGCAGCAACTTTGCAGGGTGCAGAGACCGTGGCCCAGAGCCCACAGGCATATCTGCCAGCACGACGAACATCTCAGCCAGAAATCCTTGCAGCATCAAGCAGAAACCACCACAACACATCAGTGTCTTCACAGAGCTAGCACTTCACCAGAGCCTGGGGCACTCTTCCTGCTCGGTCCTCCGGGAATGGCCGCTGCAATGGCCCTGCATGTGAGGCGGCACGGATTCAACAGGCCACTGATCTCTCCTATCGCAAAGGCCACATCCGAGAAGCGAAAATTCGAAGTTCTGAGTCAGGCCGATTAGCCCTCTTCAAGTAGTCTTGATCTTCGTGGATGGCTCAGCCTGGCAGTCGCGCAAGCACTGGGGGTTTTGTGGATGCCACACGTTGCAAAGTGTGTTATGAAACTGTCGTTCGAGCAGCTGGCCTATCCTCTCAAACTGAGGTCATCATTGTTGACACCGCATCTTTCTTCCTGCTTCACCTACCGTTGATTCTGGACAATGTGGTTTGTGTTTTGGACTTGGGGGCTGCTACCGGCAGGGCGCGACAGGTCCACCAGTTGTGGTCTCTCTATCGCGCTCTCTCTATCTCTTTGTTTGTCTGTCTCTGTCTGTGGGATGTCGCGAGATCTCGCAAAGCTTGTTTTCACCTCCGGCTGCAGGACGAAGTAACGCAGCTGTCATTGGCAGCGGCGTTTTCAGTAATTGCACCCGGGACTGCTGAGACTGCCAGAGTCATAGGAGTCGTTGGCAGCTGTGTTCAATCTCAAGCTCGATCGAACTTGTACTCAGCCAAGGCTCTCGCTATGATTGCTTCTGGTCTGAAGGCCGCCCTCACGGATCCGTCTCATCCAGATGACCCTTGGCTGACGAATGCAACAAAGAGACATTTCGGCGCCATTGCAACGGCAGACCGACAGTGCGAAACGACCGAGAAGTTGTTCGGCCCATGTTCACCCTCCTTCGCAAGCCTCTGTAAGTCACGTCCTGCAAAACATCCAAGCAGGTACGTACACACACGCAGAATCCCGCAGATAGCATGCGCATGAATCTCAGACATGTAGACCAGCAGGTGCATCAGTTCGTATCCCGAGTCCATACGGCTAAACTGCTGTCGTTGTGAGGTGGCTCTGGATGCGTCGAAAATCTGTTCAAGCATCCACACTGGGCGGGACTGAAACTTCTGCTTTTGCAGACCGAGTTATTTGTAAGATTCTCGGTTTCCCGTCGAAGAAGCTCTCACAAAGATCCCTGTCGAGAATCATCAACCACCTGAAGCTCGCATGACCGTCCAACGCCAACGAGATAAGGTCCCGTGGAAATGGGGCAAAGGGCTGCTTTGCTTGCAGTTGGCAGTAGAGCCGGAGTTGAAGGAGCGCCTGAGAGAGCTACACTATAGCCTTATTCCCAGCCAGCCCCCGCCAGGTTGATCAAATATCTTAAACTCGCCCCCTCCTTTGGCGGTCCCGATTCATCACATTTCCTAAACCCACCCCCTCATTTGGCGATCCTGTTTCACCGCTTATCTTGAGCGTGCCCTCTGCTTAGGCGGTCCCGGTTGATCATGATTCTTAAGCCCGCCACCTCATTAGTCGATCCTGGTTGATCACTTCTTCTAGCACCCCCCAATCCAGGTTCTTCACATATATCCTAAGCGATCCAGATTCAACACATAGCTTAAACCCAACTCGTTAGGCCATCCTGGTAGATCACATATCTTAAGCCCCTCCTTTGGCGATCCCGGTTCATCACATGTCCTCAACCTGCCCCTTCATTCGGCGATCTAGGTTGGTCACATATCTTAAACTCGCCCCCTCCTTTGGCGACACAGATTCATCACATGTCTTGAATGCGCCCCCTCATGATGCGATCCCGGTTGATCACATATCTTAAACCCGCCGCCTCACTTGGCAATGCAGTTTGACCACACATCTTAAACTCCCGCCCAGCTGATCGCACTTCGTAAACCTGCCCCCTCATTTGGCGATACCGGTTGCTCGCATTATTTCTTAACCCGCACGATCCCGTTTCACTATATACTTCCACTACTTATTCTTGAGCACCGCTCTCAGGCGATCACATTTCTTAAACCCGACCCTCATTCGGTAATCCCGTTTCATCACATGCCTTAAATCCGCCCTCTTGTTTGGCGATCCAAGTCGATCACATTTCTAATGTGTTTGCGAGTTGGTTGTGGTGCTTGCTGCTATGGTCAGAGGCTGTAGTTTGTGTCACGCCGACCCACACCTGTGATCGCGTAAACCCGCCTGAGACCTGCCCAAGCATTTGGCCTCATATCTTAAACCTGCCTCTCATTGGGCGATCCGGCTGATCACACATCTTACACTCGCCCCCTCATTCGGCGATGCAGGTTGATCACATATGACCCCGGCTGATCGCATTTCTTAAGCCCGCTCCCTCATTTGGCGATCCCAGTTGATCACATTTCTTTAACCCACCCCTTCATTTGGCGATCCCTATGCATCATACGCCTTAAACCATCTTAATCACGCCGCCTCATTAGGCGATCCCGGTTGATCGTATTTCTTAAACCCGCTCGCTCAATCCAGACATATTTTAAGCTCGCACTCTCCTATGGCGATCACGATTGATCACTTTTCTTAAACCCGCCCCTTCATTATTGGCGATCCCGATTGAACACGTGTCTTCAGCCCGCTCCCTCGTTTTGCGATCCCGGTTGAGTTCTACCCAGCGCCAGCACAAGGCCAACGCCCGCCAGCCTTCCCCCATGCAGCGCCATCGCCAACGCCCGCCTTCCCCAAAAAAACGCAATGCAGCGCCAGCTCCAGTGCCAGCCATTCCCTACTGCAGGAACACACAGGGAGCCGCCAGCGCCAGCGCGCGGAATTTGTCTACCCTCGAGAGCTAGAACATAGGGTCTGTGGACTCCGAAATTGCATCCCCCGATAGCCCCCACATGAGTAGCAGTAGTAGTAGTAGTCGTCGTCGTCGTAAGATACCGAAAAAAGCCCTGTTCTGATCATTAAGGCCCCAGTAGCTTAGCCTGTGCACGCGGCTGAGTTCCTTTGACGACCTCGGGAAGACAGAGCTCCCTTTGTGTCACACTTGCCATGTTCGCCAGGCCAGGACTTCTTGTGGGAGTTGCAGATGGACGATACAGAGCTGGTTTGTTTGTAGCTTCCTTGTGTAGATGCGGACAGGAGTTTCGGACAGAGCACTGTAACTCGTGCAACAGGCATCTCGGCGGCATGCATGGCACATGATCACACAGCAGATGCTCTATCGATTTGCCCGTGCCTGCTTGTGGGGCATGGAACTGACCGATTATCTGCCACTGGGACTCGGCCTTCTGCATGGCAAGCGACAGGAAGACCCATGTTGATACCCAGCATCCTCGTGCCTGAGGTGCGTCGCTGGTTTTGACCATCATTGCATTTGGCTCAATAACTGCAACTTGCCATGCAAGATAGGTCCCCTCATTGAAACCCTGCCAGTAAGCAGGGCAGGATGAGGTGCCGATAGGTGCAGTCACAGCCGTGGATGAAGGCGGCACCTGCCTGCGATCTGCACAACTCGCCAGAGGTCCGAAAAGTGGAAATCAGATCCCGACTTCTCCCAGTCAAGGTATTGGCGACGCAAATTATGCAAGCTTCTGGACCGCTATGGTCTCAGCGACTATGTTTCTAGGCCAGGGTGCTGACTGTGTTAGTTGCTTTTGGCAGTGTTTGGGAGAATCTCCTTGGCCGGGTGCCACTGGCAACATCCTGCTGTTTTGAGCCCGGCCAACCTCGCAGTCATCATGTGCGTGAGCGGGATTGTGTTGATCGTGGTGGTCATCCTGTATGGTTGTCCGAAGGAGCGGGCATGTTTGCAAAGATTGATCTTTTCCACAACGATTTCGATTTGTGCTGCATCCTGTTTGGCGCGGTTGACTGGGAGGAGCTGCTGTTGCCGGCGCTTAGCTTCTTATTGTGCCGTGGACTGCACACTTGTTTATCCGAGACGAGAGTTTGAAACCTTGCCACGTCGTGATCCTTGGTGAACTAAGGCTCTTAAACATAGCCTTGCTCGTGCCGATCTTCACATTGCTGATTTTTCATCTGGCTCTGGTCAACAATCGGCTGACGACGCTGGAGTACATCATGGCCGGAGTTGCAGACAAGACGAGAGCATGCAAGCCTGTCATCGTTCGGAGTCTGCGCATAAGGTTCCAGAATACTACATCTGTCGCATGGTTCACGAGAGAGTGAGCGCACCAGAGCGGATGCCAGCCCTCCACTCCTGCCCTTCTTCCCCGGCCATCCCTACAGGCGCACTTGGACTACGACAGGCCTAGACAGAGCTGGTCGACTGAGCTTGCGACACGACGCACGAAGAGACGCAGACGTGCTGAGGGAGTGCATGAGACAGCACGACTTAGAGCACACACCCGTCAGGGCTTGGCACGGTCATACCAGACATGAAGTCACAGCATGTGCAACCAGGGCCCTCGACAGCGGCAAAAACCCACCGCTCCGCCCAGAAGCCGGGCAGTGACTTAATGATGTCCCCTACTCGCGCTTGTTTCTTTTCGTTGGTCATGGTCATGGCAGTTGCACTTGTCGTACTCTACTCGTCGTCGTAGCCACAGCACTCACATAACGCATAGGTGTAGCAGTAGTCGTAGTGGTAGTGGTGGTGGTAGTAGTAGTTGTAGTAGCAGCAGCAGTAGTAGCAGTAGTAGCAGTAGTAGCAGTAGTTGCAGTAGTTGCAGTAGTTGCAGTAGTAGCAGTAGTAGTAGTAGCAGCAGCAGCAGCAGCAGTAGTTGTTGTTGTTGCTGTTGTGACCCAGTTAACAGCAGACGCCAGCAGCCCTCGCGAAATCCGAAGTCCCGGCTCAAAT